TAAATAAATGACAGTGATTAACGGAAAGTCGTGTTCTGTCACGGTGAACGAGTACGAGCGACGGCGGCGGGATTAGGGTCGGCCGACCGTGAATGTTTCCCGGGCGCGCGCGTATATATATATATATATATATATATATGTGTGTGTGTGTATACAGAAAGGGTTATTGGGTCCCGTGCGTATTCCCTTTGCGTCGCACGCAAGTACACACGCACGTCTCGCGTATTGTACGCGTACACACACACACACACATGCACCGCGCGATGTTTGTGCGCTCGAAACACAACAATGATCTTTGCTAATGATCACAAAACCGTGTGTTACTAGCCGACGAATGCCGCGGCGCTGCAGCAAGGGTTGTGTGTGCTTGCTATTCTTTCTACCCCTCCCGTAGCACGCATAGCAGCACCGGATCACGCGGCCGCGGTCCCTAATTTTGTTCTGCGCGAAATTGCTTTCGGAAAACTCGAGAGGGTGTCCAGATGTAATTGTCGTAAATTAACTTTTTTCAAGATCCCCTTGTTCGCTCACCGCCGCCGTCCGCCGCCACCCTTGTGTATAATACGTGCGCACCAGCCACTTGAAACACATGCGTGTTTCCCGCCGACACAGGACTTCGGGATAAGTCCCTCAAGGGCATTCAGTAGTGGCCACAATATTAGAATAATTATAACATAAAAGGTTATTATATTATATACGTGTAACAAGTAAAATTTCGACACACACACTCGCGCACGTCATATTTATATTTATATATTCAAACGAAATGCAAATCAAAACGATTCGACCGTTGCTAGTGTTAAACTTATGTATGTATACACTCGCCGTCGCCGCATCATATTATAATATTTAATCGTTTATAATACTTGTTTGATGTCAACATAGTATAATAATAATATGAACTTGACATGATTTCGGAATTTCTAATAAAAATAATCCAATATTCGCGTATTGTATATCACGACGTATTATATGAGCTGCCCCCGCAGTGTGATATCATAAGAAACCGAGTTCAATCCGTGCACTAAAGATTATAAATCGCGAAAAACCACCACACTGCTGCACTGATGCAGCTGCAGACCGAACGATATTAACCACATTTTTCATTCTTGTTGAACGGCGGTGATATTGTTCCGGGGAGTAAAGAATGAGCTATTTCGCCCTCTGCACATACACACACATACACTAACATACACATGTATATAACGTAACTGAGTAAAACCGGGACACGAGGTATACGTGTATATAACACATATATACATATATATATATATGAGGTCGGAGGAGATATGGGAACATTCCTGGACACATTGCGGCAGAGATAGAATCTTTCTCTACAATAACAACGGAATGGCGGAAAAGGGGACGCCAGAGGTGGCGGCGGACGGCGGTCAAGCTTTTGTGTGTGATGGGTTCGCATAAAAGGCTCACCGCGGGCGCGGGGACCGATTCACCACGCCGCGCCGCACTACACTACCCACGCGCCGCTGAAAAGACCATTCTTGGTTGTTTGAATGGCCGTAAAATTTGTCCACCCGGATAAACGAGGGCCGGCAGTATGGACTATGGATAAAGGGAGTGGTTGAAGGGTGGTATATGGTCGTTTCGGACGGGGGATGACGGCGGCGTCGGTCTATAGGTCGGCGGCAGAGAGGGATGTCGTTTTCCATATCTGGCCGGTCGGAGTCGAGTTGAGACCCGGAGATTACCCTCTTGTTTATGGCTGGCTTTATTTTCCAATTTCTGTCTAAGATATACCGAGGCCTAAACGCTAATCTCGTATATATAACCGACAATGCGTTCGAGATGCGCCCGCGGTCGTGCAGTGTGCGTGCGAGCGCTATTACGTTTATATTATTATTTACGTATACTGTTCGTGTGAAAGGTATACATTATAATAATATATTTAATATTATATATTTCACACATTCTTGATTTTCGACATCCGCCCATCTATAATAAATAATAATACGATATTAGTCAAATATATACATGATATTATACTCTGTACAACACGGTTGTGCTAGCTATCAACGCATGCTTAATTATATACCCATAAATACAATATTATTATGTGCCTATGTATAATGTTTTTGTAAATATATGCATAAACATTGTTGAGTATTCAATTTTGCCATTTTCATTAGCTGCAAGTGTTATTACATGCGTATATATATACACTATCTAGGATCAGAATAAACTGCATGATAAAAAATCAAGTACGTAGGTTTTTCGTTTTTAAATTATTACGTTATAATTTCATGAATACGACAACCAATTAAAATACGCGTACCTGCGGCAGTATTTATATATATATATAAATATATAGTTTACAAAATATACATGTATACTAATGAGGAAGTACTGCGATATTTTACTCGAGACCTTAAATAATTGTATATTATACGTATACGCATGAATAAAATAAACGATGTCTGCAAGTCTATGGGACGAAAATTATGATCGTATCAAAAATAATATTCTTACTCGTACGTGTGTATTTGTATATACGTATAGTTATTCTGTGAGAATCATTAATCAAATACATGACCCGTTGTTGTCGCTAGTATATTACAGTATATAATACCTGTATACACGTCGAGTTAACCATATTACAGAAATCGCGTGTGGCACGAAATCAATTTTTCCTTCTTGTATTTTACACACACACACACACATATTCACTTTTCCAAACGAACTATTGATTACGTGAGAAAATGGGTATAAAAACTATTCCCATATTGTCTATTCACGCTATTTATTATTTGCCTATAAGTATGTATCGACACGTAAAAAAATACCTGCAACGTCATGTTAAAAAGTGTTTGTATGTTTAATATAGCATTAGATAGAAAATTATTATCATTATTATTATTAATATATAGTTTACTATTGTAGTCCATAATATATATAATTATTGTTGTTTTTTCATAAACACTATAATTATATCACGAACAGTGTTTTTAAACATCATCAACAACTTTTATTCGAGTTGTTTAAAATTATTTATCCACGTAAAATAATAATTATACATTACTATTTTTATTATTATTATTATTGTTACATATATATAATATATTGTAAAAATTAATTATCATTTCTTTCGTGTAACCGACTAATGTAATTAAAATGTAAATATTGTAATTTAAAAACAGCGATTAAGATAACGCTTATGTCGATTTCTCAATGACAATGATCATTAATAATTGTAGGTACAGTAATCGCTTGAGACACGCTTTAAATAACTTATTTATTCAAAAAAAAAAAATAAACTCATATATATAGTATACAAACGCGTATAATTAATTTAGCGTCTCTGCGGGTAAAATAAACTTTCGAGAGAAGTTCTATTATAATTCGATTTGAATCATTATTTGTTTGTTTACTAATATATATATATATATATATATATATATATGTACAAATGAAACAGTTGTTCATCATTCTGATGTAAAACACAAATTTTGTGAATTTTTAATAAGTAATGTACAAGTAGACAGCATTATGTATAGCAAAGTTAACAATTTAGGTATAATTATAAATATTTTTTATAAAAACCGCAATGGAGTTCTGTACATATTTACGCATTTCGTGAGGAATGGGCTTGCACTTCTAAGATTATTTTATTTTGTATTTATTTTTTTTTAATCTGATAAGAGAACCAAATAAGAGGGAGGGGAGACTATTGATTTTGCAATTAATGCAAAACGCGTGATAATGGAGTTGAAGGAATATTTTTGCCCTGCTAATGACAAAGTTTTTTTTTTTCAACACCCTTAATGCGAGACTATATATATTGTGAGACAGGAGAGCGAATTTAGCTGGTGTTCCTGCAGAGACGCAGTTGTCGCGAACGAGGATTAAAAAGACATCGACTTGTCCGACGAATTAACACGATAAGAGGACGATCGGATTTCTCTCGCGTTTATAAGTATATATATATATTTAACACTGGTATAGAATTCGCGTCCCGGAGATTTATGCGCGTTTCCCTGCTTAAGCTCACGCGTTAAATAACGACGAGCATATCGTTGCAGAACTTCATCTCCACAGTCGTTCTCGCCAATTGTTTTAATATATTATATTAATAAGATTTTTTTCGTCTATAAACGTGCAGGATTGCCGGTTTCTCGCTATTAGTATGCTGTATCCTCTGTAGATAGTCTTGTGTGCAGTGAAACCCTCAAATGTTTCTTGTTTTCATCATTATAATATACTATAGTCTATAATATGTATTATATACGTGAATCGAAATATTAAAGAAATAAAAAGGGCTGGAAAATTAGGCGTCAAGCGAACAGCTGTTACAGGCGCGTTGATGGGGGTCGGGTCATATGTCAGGTCGGGGTTGTTAGGTCAGAACTATCGAGTTATGTGCACCGGGTGTTTGTAACGACTTCTCCTACTGGTGCACACTCCCACCCCTTGCCCACCCTCGCAACACTATTTACAACGTCTCTAATCGGCAAAAATACATTTAACGCATATTATTTCGACCCTTATTTTTGGGTTTTCTTCCTTGGAGTCGGCTGCATAGCATAGGTATAAGGTGCACACATATGCAGGCTTGTGTTTTCCAAATTTAATAACCGGCGCGCAAGTATTTCACAAAAACCAATTCATCGGGTCAAAGTAATATACACATTCGTATAATATGTATACGAACGTAACTCGAGACAAACGACAAGTTATCGACCGAACTATGAGCGAACACAATATTATTCGTGTATTAAATTACGTCGTTGCCGTGGTGTGTTTTGATGGTAATCGATATTAAAAGTCTACAAAAGATTTTCGTCTACAATATAGTATAATATAAATACGTCTACGAACGAGCGATTAATATATCCGTATATTGATATCGCAATGAGATGTCATTTTTTATTTTTGGAAATTACCGATAACCGCTGTGATTATATTCCAATAAATGCACTTAATATAATAGAATATAATATATTTATAAATGATGTACCTAATAGATTGTTTGTTTGTTTTTGCAGGTTTATAAACGCTCGACGGAGAATAGTGCAACCTATGATCGATCAGTCTAACCGTGCCGGTAAGTGTCGAAAAAATAATACAATATATACTATATACATATTATTACGATGGTTGTATCATATTTATACATGATACCCATGTATTATATTTTATATTATTATTATTATTGTGTATATATACAATGATATAATAATATCGTTTGCGGCGCCGCGTTGCAAAAAAGTCGTAATTGTTATCCCGCAAAAGTTTTGGTTCGGTATTTTTTTTTTCCCCCCTGTCGCGATATAGTCGTATAGTCGTCGTCGTTGTTGTTCACAAGATACGCGGTAAATCGTTTGAATCAGGTGGTGGCGAAGCCGCGTGTATATGTATATGTATATATATAGAAAGACCATCATCGTCGTAAAGCAGAACGACTATTCGCGGGGGGTCGTAAACGCGCGGCGGTGGCGGCAAATTGTAATGTTTTCCGCGATGCACCTCAGGTCCAATTACGCGAATTTTCCAGCCCAGGTTTTCCTCCTCTCTCTCTCACATACACTTTCTGTTTCCCCCTCTTTTATACCCCCATTTTCAGTGGGTTTTTACGGCTATTCCGAGACGGTGGCACACAACTTTTGACTGGCAATTTCGAGGGGTTTTATGGCGCGATAAACTTGTTACGACATGCTTGATTTTCGTGCACCCTCTCGCGCGCGCCGAGCCGGTTACCGTTTTATTCCCGTTTAATGGAAATTTTATTTTTACTGCAAGTCATCTAGACCCTTTTTTTTGATGATTGTCGTCTCCTCTCACCACGGCGCGCACGATCGTTTTAATTTTATTAGCAGCAAATTGCCTTTATACGACACTTTTGTTTTTATTTGCCCCCGTATAGCTGCACTCAACGGTCTCTGTTCCCGTGTGCGTATATATACGTGAATGTACAGCGCGCAACCACCGGGAAACAGTTACGGTCAAACTAACTATAAACCAACCACTCGCGCGGCCATTATTATACTATAGCACTATATATTATATCAGTTTTAATCCCGAATCATTGACGTTAAATCGCGGCAGAGAAAGGGTCGCGCCGCTACATATATTATATACCTACATATATAGAAATTAATGTCATCATAAGACCTTGTGTGGGACAGTTTTGTATACATATATAGCTAGGTATTATAATGTATAATATATTGGATACACATCGTCCCGTATGCGTGTTTTTTTTTTTTTTTTTGACCTACGAATGGATTTCGAAAGTTTCTCGATATGTGCAGCGGAATAAATTGTTAATAAGAATAAAAAAAAAACCCATATTCATACATACATAATATAGTATATATATATTGCGTATGACTTGTATACGCAAGTGTTATGTCGAAGTCGATCATATAATATAAAAATTATAATATACTCTGACCCCTTAACTGCGTAACGGCCCTCAGTATAAAAGGACCTATATTCTATATTTCCGGTAGTATTCGAAAAAGAAATCTCCCGAAAGCTTTAACAAGACAAGTCTCGTTGGTCCGACCTCCCGTCCAAGTTTTTTCACCCCTCATATATAATATATATATATTACGACCGACATTATTTTATACATTTTACGAAGAAAAGAAATAAATGCGTACCGGATATAAAAACCACCAAACAGTGCTGTTCCGCCTCATCAACTCTACTAGCGTATATATAGTCGTTCACTCCCGACACGATAACATTTCCTCGGACGTTTTGAAAATGCTTCGACCCCTTTTATTTCGGTACATAGCTCACAAACTCTTTTCGCGTAATTTGGAAGCATCATCATCATCATATATATATAACATTTTTGTCGATCGTACCACATTTCGTGAAAAAAAAAGTTCTCGAAACTTTTCAAAAGCTTTAGCCGAGTGCCGAACATACGCATCATTTGGTACATAGTAATTTTACGATATACGATCTATAACATTATATGGAAGTGAATATAATCTGAGTGTGGCCGAGGATAGTAACAGCAGTAGCTGTAATAAGAGTAGTCGTATATAATATACGGTTAAAAGTCGAAAAGAATATTAGGCGGCGATATCTATAATAGTATATGAGGGGCAGCAAGGATTGAGGGACAATTCTGTGATGTAGCGCGGGCGTGCAACGACATCTTGGATATATCTGCTGGCTGTAGTGGGGTGGCGTTAAGAGTAATCTCTGTTAATATCCATTACCGTGTTTGTGCACGGGGTGCTTCGTAAAACCGAGGGGGAAACTTTTAGTCGCTGGTTTATAACTGCGACGACTATTTAGAACCGTTTGTTTTGTAGGCGACGATATTTCCGCGTCGTCGGGACCGTCGCCTGCATACGACCACCGTGTCGTGGTGCGATACGCGAAGCTATCACGGAGAAAAACGGCATTATTAAACTACTGACTTTTATACTGATTATATCGTCATCATCTCCGTTATTATTATTATTATTATTATTATTATTATTATTACTACTACTACTATATTATCTTCATTATTATGATGGCAATGCACCGATGTTGATTTCGTGCTCGGTCGTCGTCGTATATATAGCGGGCCAATTAAATTGCAATTCAAAAAAATCAGTCGTCGGGGGATTACACGGCTTTCCACTTTTCTGCCGTCGAGGTCCTAATCATTTCTATTCCCGAGAGCATTTCGCGCCCCGTCACTCGGCGGTGGCGGCGTCGGCAGCGATGCTCTCGTGTGTGAAACGTTGTGTTGTGTACATGTCGCTTTCTGGTTTTTGTTTGGAATTATATGCGATTGCAGTACTATGTGTTTAACGTCTCGTGAAATATATATTATATATTATTATTATACAGTGGACAAAATGGAAGAGACGAAACAAAAGCTTTTAGTGTTTCGTCCTCGGCGCAACGCTGTTTTTGTTATTAATAATTTATTCCCAGTCTGCTGTTTTTCGTTTCGTTTAGCGTTGTTAACATGACGTCGTATACGCTTTTAGTTATAAATATATAACTACCTTTTAAATTGACATTTTTAACGACTATAAAAAACTGCAGCTGCAACAGCAGCGATTATCGTATATCTACCTGTAATATCCGCGTATTTGTATATTATGCAATTCTATATTATAAATATATATTGTGCTGTTGCAATAGCAATTTATTCGTGATTTCTTCAGTGAAGCGAATGACTACGTTCAAACATGTTGTACACTTATAGGTATATATTCGCGGGAATTGGGAAGTACAGTAATGGCGTGGACAAGGAATATGTATGTATGTATATATATATATGTGTAGTATGTATATGTATATACATTATATAGGGACAACAATATATCTTGTCGCTAGAGGTCCCTTCTCGTGTTTGGGGACAAGAAAAATGGACCTCGACCCCGAAGGGTCTGTGCGACTGCAATCCGTCAATCCCCAGCAGTATCTGATAAGAAAAAAAAAAAGCTCGCTTTGGGACAGACCAAGTTTTCACCTCTTCCACCGCCTACTATATAGTAATAGTTGTAATAGTAATGGTGGGGTAGTGTTTCCTTTAAGCAGCTATAAATTACTATTTCGTCGATCTAAAGTCGTTTTCGCGCGAAACGATCACGGTCGACAACGCGGCGACAGTTTCTCTCCGACGTATCTTCGATATCATATCGTACTATATCCGTATTATACATTATAATATAATATGTTATGTGTAAACAACACAATCGGAATAAAAAAATCGATTCGTGACTTATTTGTACATGGACATCGTTTTTATTATCATTATTATTTTTTTTTTCCAGTTTTCTCACCGCATGCCGGCCCCAGTGGAGCGTACAGCCCCGAGGCAGCCGGTCTCGGATACATGATGGACGGACAGTCTCAGATGCTCGCAGCGGCAGGTCACAGACCCCCAGGCGACCCGGCCTATCACAACGAATATCATCATTACCCGGCCCAATACTACGGTCATTTGTAGTACCGTAAATTACAATCTGAATTCTAGTACTCGTGTTTCATTACAATGATTGATAACAATCTGGTTGACTGATGTATATTTTTTTCACTGGTCGCTATTATTATTTTATTTTATTTATTATTATTATTATTATTATTATTATTACTATTATTTTTTTTTTTTTAATTATGTTTAAAATAAGACTATACGGATTGTTTTTTTCCTTTTTAATAACGATTAATTTTCTGGTGTCGTAATTAAGACATTATTGTCATTATGATGATATACAAACAAAAACATTCGATTTAAACAAAATCATAATATTATATGTTGTGCGTCGCTACCGATCTGTTTCGCGTTATGTATTATATTGTAGTACAAGATAATGCAACATAATATATGTACACGCATAATATTATTGATTACGATGTAAGGCGGTTATTGCCTAGCTGTAATTTAGACCTTTTTTTTTATTTATTATTATTATTGTTTAGTTGACGTAAACACGTTAGTCGTGTACGTAAGTATTATGTACATTTATAACAACAATGTAATAATGTGTCCACGTAGGACTATGTTAAATGTACGCGTGTTATGTATATATAGGTACAATGCATTACAATGGCTATCCAATATTATAAAGCATATTAATAATGTGTATATGTGCGCTTAATGTACATTATTACCCGTCAACTCGAAATGCGATATTATTGTTAACGGCATTTTTAATCTTACATACCTATTATAAATCACGAAAGAAAATTCGGACGTCATTTCGAATTGTAATCGCAGCTGTAGGTATAACACAAAAATGTACAGAGCACACCAGTCAGACGAGCTATATGATATTATATATATATATATATATAGTTGCAGTATAGCCTATATTGTATCGTCAAATTTCTTTATCATTATATTATTCGTTTCCTGGCGGTTATAGGTACATGGGATTTGATCGTTTTCGATTTTATTTTCGGCTGGTCCTTTGCATCCATGGATGTACAGCCTTCCGCGGAAACCATTCGTTGTTACGCAGTAATTTATATTTAGCTGTTTCATTTTTAACTTTGCTACTACGTAAAACGTAATAAGAATAATATAATATGTCGACATTTTCAAACCTGAATTTTCCGTCGTCACAAAATGATAAAATTACACATGTTGAGTATATATTGTACAATCTCGGATTTTTTTTTAAAAAAAAAAAAAAATAAAAATAAATATATGTAATATTATATTTTGCGTACTTTATAACTACTAGTCATGTTTTATATTTTATATTACCATATAAATATTAAAATGATAATTACGATTATTCTTAAAATAGTCTCGTAACAATATCTGTACTGACTTGTATAATAACCATGAATCCGAGAGAAAAATATTAATTACCTAGAGTATGATTTCACGATTATTTCGATATTAATCTGTACAATGTCTAGAAAAAGTTAAAACTTATTTCGTTTGTTATTGTTTACACGTTTTTTTTAGTTACCAAACATTTTAATGGTGAATTATATTTCCGAACATCTTGTCTCGCGGACAAAACAACTTAAAAATTAAACGTTCCGGCCAGTATACGGATATTGGCGGATTTTCATTATGATTTGAAAAAGAATATATATATTTATATATTTGCAAAGAAACGCTGCAATGTATACTATATTATGTATACAAAATAATAGGTTGTTGTTTTGTTTTCACATATGAAATATTATTATTGTTATTCGTTCGTTATTTTCTACATTACGTCCCATCTCGATTCATATGATCACAATTCACCTATTTTTTTTTTTTTTTTTTTTACTTTTAATACTTTTTATTATCGCGATAATGTTTTATTGTTATATTTACGACGTAGTGTAATAGGTAATTTTTTTTATTATGTTTATAAAAATCAACATCGTCAATAATAACGCGGTCTACGCACATCGACAAAATAATACGATGATGTCTGAATTACAATTTTTTTTCGTTTTCTTTTATAAATATATATATATATATATATTATATATATTATAAATACGTGCTAGACATTGCTTTTTTTGTGCCAGTATAATACACTTGATGTTTTTTTTTATCTATTTAAGTATAATTATTACGTACCTATAAAATGTAAATATTGTAATAAATGTCTTTTACTATTTTAGTTACATTTAATAATAATAAGAAGAAACATTTATGTACATAGTGCAGTAGGTATATATATAGTCATCGTTTGATATACAAATATATATGTACGCGCGTGTATATATACATGTTATATGTGTATGTATTTGTATATGTATCTCTATATATATGCATGTTGTAAAATATGTTCTTTTTTTTTTTGTATGTTCTTTACATTATATATATAGTTGGTTAAGATTTACATGTTTGATGGAAAAAAAAATGCGTGCAGCAGCAACTTATGTACATATAGATCGTAACATTTATTATATAGTTGTGTATAATTTTTACAATGTGATATAATATAATAATGATAATTAATAATAATTAATAATATTAATAATATGATGATTATAATTATGTATAATATATGTATAATCATCACATCGTAAACATAATAATTAATGATTAATAATATAATAATAATAATTATAAATATATAATATATATATATATATATATATATAAATATATATTAATTATATAATAATAATTACGAGAAAAACGTTTAGTATTTTCTTTATTATACCTACCCATATGTATATTATTACATATTATTATAACATAGGTGTATCTTATAAGGAACGTGTACAAAATCGCTATATATATACATATGCAAATAAAATATGTTTTATGCAATTCAGTTTATTATATATAAATGTGTGTGTGTGTGTGCGTGTGTGTGTGTGTGTGTAGGTATACAAGCGCACGTCATCATATTATTGTGTTCAATATTCGTGATGATGATGCCGACCGAAAACAACCAATTCGATCTCATCGCTCATTAGCGAAGACGTATAATATATGGGTACGACGTATAAGTACCAATACTCTATCACGATATAACAGCCGGTACATAATATTATATCTATACCTACAGATCGTACGCCTGCAGCACGTATATATATATATATATAAGTTTGTAGTGTGTATACGGTACGTTTGTGTGCGGCCTCGCGTACGTGTATTATCATTACGATATACGTGATTTATATGCCTATACGCACGAATCCTATACAACCTAACCACGGCGGATGTATGTGCCTACTACGCGATATCACACATCAGCTGCCATCGTCGGCGGCTGGGCCGCGTGACGTGCGCCATCGCGACCCGCGACGTTATTCCCGATTCCGGACGCGTTCCCGCGCGAACCGGCGTGCGTGATGTGTCGTTCGCGCCTGTGCGTCGCGGGACGCGCGGCGACACGTTACACTCGTAACACGTAATCGCCGTCCGTCCGGATCACATATCACACGCCGTCGCGAGAGCCGAAGTCGAACGTCGTAATAATCGCCATCGAAAACCGGTTACGCGAGCGCGCGCCGCACACCGAAAACCCCGAATGTCCCCGTTAGTCCGATATTGTTATTGTAACGTTATTGCGTATAATACCGACTGTCACGACAATGACAGTATTATTATAATATTATCGTTGTATCTGTATAGATTTATCGTTGAAATATTGAACATCATCGTTTCGTGTGCGGATAGAGTACGTATCTGCCCGTGTAATGTAATAACGTGTGCGTCATGATGGCTGCTGCCCCGACGTGTGCGTCGGGAGAAATCGTGTTTGGGTTATCGTGCGAGCGTGTAAGAGCGTGTAGCGTGGATGAGATGGAAAATGGAAAAAGCAAAAAAGAAAAAGAAAAAATAAGGACCGTAGAAATTCGCTCCGTCTTCGGGCGCGCGCGACCTCTCCTCGCTCCGGCGGCGACCTTATACCGCCGCCGCCGCCGCGCCGTCGCGATGTGTACGACGACGACGTTTAGGGGCGGTATAGCCGCCACACACAAAGCGAAAACGTGAGCGAACTGCAGCGCGCGCGCACTGCGCGCTCGGTCGGTCGTCCGCCGCGCGCGCGTGTGTGTGTGTGCGCGCGCGTTGGCGGC